GGACTTCTGCTGGATCCCGGTAAATTTGGCCCAACTGTTGAGTGGGCCAATTTATCGGGACATGGCAATTTGTAAAAGATCTTTCCCCAAAATTTTGGATTTTTGGGATGAATAGCGAGAAGTGGAAAAAACCAGTGAGAAGAGAATTTGCTTCTTTCAGCAAAATTCAACACAGGTTGTTTTACATCTTTGTTTTTCCAGATGCATGCGCAGCAAGCGTAAAATTCCCCATATTCTGGGATAATTCTGTCTCCCATAAAACCAGGGAACCCCCGTTGTTTCTTTGGGGGACTATCTCTCTGGTGGCTTAACTGCTGCCAAATGGTTTTGTCATTTGTCTTTCAGCATGCCAATCCTCATTGGTGCACCCCCTTTTAGAAATATAATCCCCAAAGTTTTGAACTTTGGGAATGGCCTATAAATTGCGTCAAAAACATGACACAATGGCCGACTTGATGGTAATTCTTCACACCTGTTACTGACCCAGCTGGCAGTTGGAGGGACTGGCATTTGGCAAATGGTGGGTGTGCAACCATTGGATTAAATGACCAGTGGTTTACCAGATACACATAAAGTAACACTTGCATTGGTTCCCTCTTTGCTGTGTCAATAAAGTACAGTAACAGCCAAAAGGCCTCCAGAAAATTTCAGTTTTGGAGATTTACTGGGGGGGGGCGGTTGAGATAAAAATAATACACTGTATCTCAGCCCAGGGAATCCAGACAAGCACTTGAAAATTTTCCCACAGTGAGATACAGTCTTTTGGTCAGAAATGTCTTAATTACAGCTTTCAGATTCAAGCCTATTTACCTGATGGGGGAAAAACTCCATAATAAACTTGCACCAGAAAAGGAAGAAAAGAGATGCAAATTATCATCTCAGTTTTTCCACATGGTATTTGACAACTTCCTTCATGTGGGATTCTCATGATGAAGAGTTTTGATAACTGGTTATAAATATTTTTCTTGAAAAACCTACACAAATTAGGCCTTAATATTCCTCAACTCAAGAACTCCAAAACTTAATTTTTCAATGTGTTTTATTATTATGACTCCAAGAATTTATCCTCTTGTTCACACTTACACATCATAACTTTAAATATGTATATTCACCATGGAAAGATTTTATGGAAGTGAAATGTCTAAGCTCACTTATCACCAATTCAGTTTTCACTGTCTAAATAAATGAATGTATTTCTATGAATAATGTAGAAAGTGCAAGGGTTTTTAGAATTTTTGAATATATTTAGAATTTTAGAATATTCCCCATGGTAATCTATAATCATTGAAGGAATATTGAATACAGTTAATGAATGGAATTTCGGAACAATTGCGTTTATTTCGTTCAGTACTGCTGTATTTTAACAGATGCAACAATTGATAATTGTCAACTTGAATTTTATGCCACACGGCAAGTGTACAGCATTGGGAAAATGCCAGGCATCCCATGACAATCCGAAGGACGCGGAAAAAGTCTGAGGATTTCCGACCAAATCTTGAAATTTCTTGATTCAGATAAGATCATGACATTCGGAAATTATGAATAGCTCTTTAAAAACGACGCCTTCATCGAGATTTCGATTTAGTCTTGATCGTGCGTTTAAACTCGACAAACGCCTGGGTATCTGTGAAACTCTGGAATCCATCACAAACTTCATCGGATACTCTAATAATTCTCGGTGATTGAAAATATGTACGGGAAAACGTGGACCGTTCTGGCCTTGCTGGCGATTTTCGTGGGGGCCGCCATGTCTGCACCGGACATTGTAGAAGAGGAATTTGACTTCGAGTATGCTGACGGTATGTTTCACACCTGAAAAACTGACCTCCTTCGCGCTCATTCTTCGAGAATCCAGCTGAAATTATGGTTACTNACAACTTCCTTCAGGTGGGTTTCTCATGATGAAGAGTTTTGATAACTGGTTATAAATATTTTTCTTGAAAAACCTACACAAATTAGGCCTTAATATTCCTCAACTCAAGAACTCCAAAACTTAATTTGTCAATGTGTTTTATTATTATGACTCCAAGAATTTATCCTCTTGTTCACACTTACACATCATAACTTTAAATATGTATATTCACCATGGAAAGATTTTATGGAAGTGAAATGTCTAAGCTCACTTATTACCAATTCAGTTTTCACTGTCTAAATAAATGAATGTTTTTCTATGAATAATGTAGAAAGTGCAAGGGTTTTTAGAATTTTTGAATATATTTAGAATTTTAGAATATTCCCCATGGTGATCTATAATCATTGAAAGAATATTGAATACAGTTAATGAATGGAATTTCGGAACAATTGCGTTTATTTCGTTCAGTACTGCTGTATTTTAACAGATGCAACATTTGATAATTGTAAACTTGAATTTTATGCCACACGGCAAGTGTACAGTATTGGGAAAATGCCAGGCATCCCATGACAATCCGAAGGACGCGGAAAAAGTCTGAGGATTTCCGACCAAATCTTGAAATTTCTTGATTCAGATAAGATCATGACATTCGATTTAATACTTATCGAGAAATTTTTGCTGCGGAAGTAGCTCTAAAGCTAAATCAGAACTAGCACGCAAATTTGAGCTGTTTGCGGACCCATAGACACTTTGAGACCTTAGGTAGTGTTTGAAGTAGCCATACTCTAGTAATTCTCGGCGATTGAAAATATGTACGGGAAAACGTGGACCGTTCTGGCCTTGATGGCGATTTTCGTGGGGGCCGCCATGTCTGCACCGGACATTGTAGAAGAGGAATTTGACTTCGAGTATGCTGACGGTATGTTTCACACCTGAAAAACTGACCTCCTTCGCGCTCATTCTTCGAGAATCCAGCTGAAATTATGGTTACTTCAGACTTTTAAAGAAGCATGCGACGAAATTTAAATCGCTTTAATTCGTTTCTTCCCTACAGAACAAAAACAAATGTTCTGCTTATACCCATAGCACATTCATTTGTGGAATCATCCATAATCATCATTGCAACATTAACTCATGGATACAATACCCTGGAAAAAAATATAATTCGTTTCTTCCCTACAGAACAAAAACAAATGTTCTGCTTATACCCATAGCACATTCATTTGTGGAATCATCCATAATCATCATTGCAACATTAACTCATGGATACAATACCCTGGAAAAAAATGAAATTAAATTTGGCCCAAGTTTTATTCCTACTCTTGAATCTAATTCTAACCATGAAAGCTATGCTTGAGAATTGTGACACTAAAAGGCATCGAAAACGAATCATAAAAAAATGGAAATTTCTTCAGATTTCAGTAAAGTACTAAAACTGTGCAAAGAGTAAGGAAAAGACAGCAGTGTAGTGTGGTATTGAAAAATGCATGGCTCTTTTAATGCTCTCAGAAACGTCCAAAAATTGTGAAGACGTGCAACACCTATTGAAAAATTTTCTCAATCGTAAATATTGAAGTTTGCAAGTTTGATCTCTATAGTTTATGATTCACTACGTGAGGGAAAAAATATATCAAAAACGGGTCCTATGTCAGATACAGTTAAACCTATTGATCAGTCAAACCTCCTCAAGTCTAATACATCCCAAAATCATTTATTTTTGAATCACCATCTGAATATCCTCAAAATCAATATACAGTAATAAAAACCTCCCTACTTCAAAGTATTCTTCTCTCAAACCTGTGTAAGTCAAATTTTCTGCAGCCTTTTGGCTAACATTTTATTGATACGTGAAAAAGAAATGCAATAAAACAAGTAATGATGTGTTTTAAAAGGAAGGGACAGACTAATTGGGCAAATGAACCTCTGCCTCAAAATTCAAAATGCTTTCAATTCATTAAAGAAGGAATTTCCAATGCCCATAATATCACCGTTTAAAATATCATGCAACTTTTTTATGTTTCCCAAGAAATGCTTGTTTCCCTGACTAGACACCTTCTTGAATAGAAACTCCTTCAGTCAAAACCTCCATAAGTCAAATATGTTTCCTGGTTGCTTGAAATTTGACTTAGAGTGGTTCAACAGTAAAAAAATACAAAGGATTTCCCAAGGTCATAGTGGGACTCAATTTGCTTCTTCTTGAATAAAAAGACGAAATTACCTTATTTTGAAAAATAAGGTGCTGCTGCTGCTGATGGATTGATATTAACATATCCAAAGGAGCTTATTAAAAAAATTTGAGAATGAAGCACATTTTGAAATTAGCTCAGTTGCCAACCAGTCTCCAATTAGGAAGACTTAAGTTTTTGTTGATTGTGTTTACGTGCTTTATGGTCCACTGTTGTTTTTTGGCAAATACAAACTTCAAAACTTGATCAGACATTCAATGGAAGAATCAAAATTCACACACACACATGCACACACACACACACACACACACAAACACACACACCACTTCATAGTGTATTAAATTTTCTACCACACTTCAGAATACCCTTTCCTCAAGATGCAGGACCTCTGACACCAAACATTTGTTCAAGACCTCTGAAATTTAAATCTGTTGAAATCTTGCCCTAAAAGAGAC